TAGGCAGTGAGGATTATTTAAGCGCTTTCCGGATTCGCCCGTAGACAAAGTAACGGAAAGACAATGTGTTGGAAAGTCAGAGAAGGAAAGAAAGGAGACACAGATCGATATATATATATATATATACATAGTGAGAGAGCGAGGGAAGTGTAAGAGAACGAGAGAATTACACAAATCTTAGAATAAAAATGGTGAGAAATGTATAAATATAAAAATCAAAGAAGATAAGAAGATGAAAGATTAAAAGAGTAAAGAAAATAAAAGATTAAAACATGCGAGAGCATGGAACGAAGATTATTGTTTCGTTGTTGCCGCTCGGAGAATAATTCAGATGGAGTCAGTATAGCGACTCACACTCTCCATCCCGACACGCCACTAAATCAAGAAATAGTCGAGTGTAGCCAATAAAATTGTTTGCTTGATGAAACTGCGTTTACTATCTGCAGTTAGTGTTTTCTTGCAAATGCTGAATTGGCGCGAAACGATTTTTTAACAGCACGAATCGAGAGGAATTCTCAGAACCACGGATGTAATTATATTCATCGTATGTACGTACGCACACGCTCACGCACGCACGAACACATACATACATGCACACACACACACACACACTATAGAAGATATCGATATGTGTAGCTATAGAAGATATCGATGTGTATAGCTATAGAAGATATCGATATGTGTAGCTATAGAAGATATCGATATGAGTATAGAAGATATCGATGAGCGCGATGCAGACATCCTGCCACGTGAATTCTCCAGCCGTTGCCCCGGTTACCGCGGCTGATATAAATCCCGCAGGTGCGCGAGAAAAAACACGAACGAACACGAAAATGCACTTAAGCACTCGCTAGCAGGCCCTCGTTATCATTTTCATCTCACACGAGCTTTCTCGCCGTGACGTAAATCAGATCTCACTTGAGAGAGCTCGAGAAAAAGAGAAAGAGAGGAGCAGAGCGAGAGCAGAGAGGGCGAAGGAGGTAGAAAGAAAAAATAGAAAGCGCGCGAGAGATATGAGGATAGAGAGAGGAGGAGAGAAAACCACATGCAGAAAGGGAGCGAGAGAGACAGGAAGGGAGAGTGAAATCAAGAGAGAGAGAGAGAGAGAGAGAGAGAGAGAGAGAGAGAGAGAGAGAGAGAGAGAGAGAGAGAGAGAGAGA